TACATATAGAAATCGACAATGAGGGTCGGTTGAAAACAAAACTTTACGACGAAAGAGATGATTTCAGCTTCCCAATTGTGAACTTTCCATTTCTATGTAGCAACATTCCAGCAGCGCCTGCATACGGAGTATATATCTCCCAATTGATACGATATTCCCGGGCTGGTATTTCCTATCATGATTTCCTTGATAGAGGATTGCTGCTCACAAGGAAGCTATTAAACCAAGAGTTCCAAAAGGTGAAGTTGAAATCATCCCTTCGCAAATTTTACGGACGCCATCACGAGTTGGTTGACCGTTATGGAATAACCGTTTCACAGATGATATCGGATATGTTCCTTATGTCGTAACTACAATACCCTTCCCTTTTCACGAATGTGACCTACCGAATTAGACTATTTACCGGATTTTTAATAACATAAGCAACACGACGGGTGCCACATGTGGAGCAAGATCTGCTTCCCTTCCGGAGCACCTGAGATCACCCCTAGTTTTTGGTGGGGTTCGTGTTGCTTAGTCTTTAGTTTTCTATGTTGTGTCATCTGTACTATTATTTGTCTGTTTGTCTTTTTATTTTTGGCCATGGCATTGTCAGTTTGTTTTCGATCTGTGAGTTTGACTGTCCCTCTGGTATCTTTCGTCCCCCTCTCAAGTAAACAAAGATCAGCATAATAAACAAATGATGCCATTGACATGTTAATATTAGTAAAATATGTATAAACTAAAACAATTGTTTACCTTATCATCAAGTTAAACAAGTTTGAAATAGCTTAAATATGCTAACAATAATTGAAATGGTGTCTAGATCTTTGACATTGAGATATTGGGTTAATACACATGTATTTATAGGACAACAACTAACAGATGACAAGGAGGGGGGAGTAACAATGACAAAGAATTATATCATAATAAGTATTCTATACACAGAAAATAAATACTAATCATTTATTTTCTTCCGTGATCATGTAATGTTTTAGAGTAAAGTTTACTTTTTATTTCCGCATCTCTATTTGTTTTATCAAATAACTGTATGACTGACTTGATGGAGTGTCTTGCTACTTTTCAGTTTTATTTAGAGAACTTAAACTTTTGACTCTTGAATAAACCGTTGTTCATTTTGAGATGATGAACCTATTTACGATATACTGAAATTCTAAAGATTCTTCAAATTGTGTAGTAACATTTTACAAACTACTCCAAACCGGCCAGAATCGTGCACCATGAAAACAAAGATCAGCGTAACAAAGCTTCGATAAACCAAAAGATGCCCATGATATGTTAACATTTTTTTTGTAAATTTGCATAAACTAAAGTAATTCTTTACCTTCCATCTTGTTAGCCTGTTGTGGTTTAAGTGCGAAATATGTATCTACTAGTACTTAACATTTACATTCGTGTTCTTGCTGCGATGGAACAGTGAGAGGAATTGTATCAAACTCCTTCCGGCTTCAGGAACACCAAATGCGATGGAACAGTGAGAGGAATTGTATCAAACTCCTTCCGGCTTCAGGAACACCAAATGCGATGGAACAGTGAGAGGAATTGTATCAAACTCCTTCCAGCTTCAGGAACACTAAATGCGATGGAACATTGAGAGGAATTTGTATCGAACTTCTTCCGGCTTCAGGAACACCAAATACTAAGGAACACTTAGAGGAATTATATCGAACTTCTTCCGATTCAGGAACACCAAATGCAAAGGAATAGTGAGAGAAATTATATCAAACTCCCACCGATTTTAGGAACGCCTTATGCAAAAGAACAGTGAGTGAAATTGTATTGAAATCCTTGCTTTTTGGAATTGTAATAAAATCATTTGATTTTATACTTTATCATGGAATTAACTTCTTGTTTTGTCTTTTAACTTAATTACAGGATGACAAACTATATAACAAATATGCCATAGATGTTTTTATGAAACTTAAATAGAATTTAAAAGATTTCGTTCAATATTGACGGATTTAATCACATGATACATTTCTTAAAATGAAATTAGTAAATAAATTTGCCAACGTTAGATGGTCATACATGCTCAAAGGACTGGGTTAACCGTATAGTACTCATCAACGGAAAGTTTATTTCTATCAAACATTCTTTTCTCAATAAACACCATTACTGGGCATTTATTTTCTTCCGTGTTTAGTGCAAATAAAATTGAGAATGGAAATGGGGAATGTGTCAAAGAGACAACAACCCGACCATAGAACAGACAACAGCAGAAGGTCACCAACAGGTCTTCAATGCAGCGAGAAATTACCGCACCCGGAGGCGTCCTTTAGCTGGCCCCTAAACAAATATATATACTAGTTCAATGATAATGAACGCCATACTTAACTCCAAATTGTACACAAGAAACTAAATTTAAAAATAATACAAGACTGACAAAGGCTAGAGGCTCCTGACTTGGGACAGGCGCAAAAATGCGGCGGGGTTAAACATGTTCACTTTTTATTTCCGCATCTCTAATTTATTCTTTAGTTTTATTTAGAGAACATATACATTTGGCTCTTGAATTAACCGTTGCTTATTTTGAAATGTTGAACCTATTTCCTACTAGTGTGTATATATATATATATTATACTCTATGCAAATTCTAACAATTCTACAAAATGTGTACCATCATTGTAAAAATTTACTCCAATCTGGCAAATAACGTGCATCAAGATCAAAGTAATAAGGCATAAATAAACCGATTGATGCCCTTGATATGTTAACATAAATTGTTGAAAAATATATAAACTAAAGTTATTATTTACCTTCCATCTTGTTAGCCTGTTGTGTGTTAAGTGCGAAATATGTATCTACTTAGAATTCACTTTCGTTTCCCTTTCGCTGGAAACTTTTCATTTACACCTATGTAATGGTATGTTTGAGTCATTATGAAGGTTGTGAATATACAAAATACGATCAAATATAAAACAGTTGCTGTAACCCTGCAAGGTCTAATTATTGTGTGAATATCTTTTTTCTTTTCAACTTTGATCCTATACAAAGGTTTTCGTCAGCAGTTCACTAGCATTTGTTTAAAGTATTACGCATTGTTGTAACAACTCAATATTACAAATAACTATCAATCTTAGTAGAAAAAGGTTTTGCTTTTAAGATTTCAATGAAAGACGTAACAAAAACCAATAGACAATATACCAATTGAAGAGTATTTGCTGTTACTGAAAAAATAGACCATCGCCTAAAATTACTAGGACAATTGGTCACTGTGTATCCTATAATCGATAACAATAGTATAACAACATCACGTGACTGATTGCCAGGACAATTGTTCACTGTGTATCAAATAATCGATTACTAATAGTATAATAACATCACGTGACTAATTGCTAAGACAATTGTTAACTGTGTATCATATAGTCGATTACTATAGTATAACAACATCACGTGACTGATTGCCAGGACAATTGTTCACTGTGTATCATATAGTCGATTACTATAGTATAACAACATCACGTGACTGTTCGCATGAAAGAAACATAGTCGGATCAAGACCAATCGAATGCTGAAACCTGGCTAAACCGAAAACCTGTATAAACCAAACATGTGCTATAGCACTGTCATATCAAATTGTATGAGTTGTGGACCTGATAAAACCAAACATTGGCAAAAACCGAAGACAATCTAAAGTCCCGAAGAGGTTCGGTTTAAATAGGTTTCACTGTATAACATAAGTATTATATAGAAATAAGGATGTAACAGTTGTGACAGCCAAAACTTTATTTCCCTATGTGGTATATGATTCTCTGTTTTACTGCATACCCAAACTATTTATCGTATCTAAAAAGTTAAACAATTTAAACAAACAGGCTTTGTATTCACCAATTTTATTTGTTTATTTCTTCTAAAGACAAATGCTTTTGATAAAAAGCTACAGAAATAATTAAAAACAAATGTTCACATTGATAAGTCAATATCCATGACTTTTTTGTACTTTGTGGAAGTTATGATAAAGAAAAATCAAGAAAATGTAAATTGTGGAAGTTAATATTGCGGTTAAGGCAGATGGATATATTTATCGGTTCTCTTTGTTGAAACGTGTTGAAGTCTTATTCTTGTAAAAAAAACTTTTTGTCATCATTCAATAGTGTTTGAATACTTTACTTCTAAAACATATGAAATATACCCGATTAAATAATACAGAAACCCGCTTAGTAACCGAAACTAGGTTCTGAAAACTTAAATGTTGTTTTCTTTTTTAGTATGAGAAAAAAAGTAGAATAACAAAAACACCAAACTCCGAGGAAAATTCAAACGGAAAGGCCATTATTAAATGACAAATTCAAAAGCTCAAACACAACAAACGAATGGATAACAACTGTCATATGTCTGACTTGGCACAGGCATTTTCTTATGTAGAAAATGGGGCTTAAACCAGGGTTCATAGCTAGCTAAAACACTTTATTAATGGCTACTTGTGAATATTATTTCGACTATTTGATTTTGATATGATATCATAGATAGGACAGCAAAGAGATTAACCAATCTTTGGATAAACAAGATTTCTCATCACAACTCTACCAGAAGATATCATATCATAGATAGGGCCACATAAAACAGAAAGGCAATTAACTAATCTAAGGATACACAAGATTTATCATCACAACTCTACTAGAAGATACAATAGCAATGCAGTAATGAATTAACAATTGTGAAAATACAAAGAAATTTAGTTCGTTTATGATGAAAGTCCTAGAATAGAGAAAAGTCATTTACAATTATGACAATAAGTACAAAGATATTAAGGTCGTATTCGATAAAAAGTCTTAGAATAAGGAAATGCAAAGTCACTTTTATATAGAGATACGAACACATGATATAAGACTATTCCCAAGTATGCAAAACTATTAGATATTCCCAAAAAACTATTAGATATTCCCCAACAACTATTAGATATTCATCTAAAAACTATTAGATATTTTTTAAAACTATTAAATATTCCCCAAAACTATTAGATATCCCCCCCCCCCCCAAACTATAAGTTATTCCCCAAAACTATTCGACATTCCTCAATACTATGGTATATTCTCCTAAACGATTAGATATTCCCCAAAACTATTAGATATTCCCCTAAAACTATTAGATATTCCCCTAAAACTATTAGACATTCCCCTAAAACTATTAGATATTCCCCAAAACTATAAGATATTCCCCAAAATTATAAGATATTCCCAAAACTATTAGACATGTTAGTAATTACCCAACATTATTTGATGTTCTCCAAAACTATTGTATTCCCCAAAACTATCATACGATACTGATAGATGGTTGGCATCGCAATTAATGTGGGTGCGCTAATCATAATTGACTAAATATACACATGTTGAACTATCATTCCTATTCGAAAAATCATTTAAATCTCTAGATATTTTTACGAACATTGATTTGTCTACCTTCACACACTGATTCTGGACGTGAAAGCGTCACTGCCTTGAGATTTTTGTAAACATGTGTTTCACTGGCCTTTGTAGTAACACATACTCGTATATTTATCGTAGCGTAATGCAAGAATATGGCGTGGTTGGCAGATGGGTAAAACTACTTCATGATCTTTTGCTATTATCCGCCTTTTTGTGTGTGTTTTTTCTTTTTATAAAACTTTGGTATCTATTTTATCATACGCCATTTTCCCAGACATGCCTTAGTAGAAATTATTACAATTTTCAAATGTATATCTATTGATGGTTAAGTAAAATCACAAAAAACAGAACGCCGAGGAAAATTCAAAATGGAATGACACGAATCAAATAGCAAAACCAAAAGCTCAAACACATCAAACAAATAGATAACAACTTTCATAGTCCTGACTTGCTACAAACATTTCCTTCTCCCTTGTTCGATGGTCGCATAAAATTCATATATAGTGACAACAAAGCTTTGCAATTGAATGTTTTCATTAAATAATTTAACAGTTTTGCATGCCGGAGACGCGTACCTTATCGGAACATGACTAAAAAAAATATCTGTTTAATCAAAGCAACTTCACCAAAGATCATAATGTAAATAATTCTAATATGACGTCCTTTTTTGCTATGTAAACAAATCCCTGTTCTATTTAGCACAGCATATGTTTGACTCATGCGCACAAACTTACTGTTTACATTATCGGTATTTCCTTTGTTTACTAGTAAAATATATATATAGATCCTAACTGCTTACATAAAAGTCTATTAAATATCATCATTATAAAAACATCCTATATTTTCCTTGCTATTATATTTTAAACTTGTTAAATATGAAAATGAAATGTACATAATTCAGGAGAAGGAAACGGGAACAGTATGTTCTTACAGTATTTTCGTAAGTTTCGACATATACACAACATTATGTGTCTCATTAGACTCAAAATATTTCCTTCATGTCAAGTTCTATGGTTGTTATATCATTGGTAGGCATTAATTTTGACTATATTTTACACCTCCCTTTCGTTCTGTGTAAAATATAGGCAAATTTAATGCCTACTCGTGTTAAAATGAACATAGAGCATGCCATGAGGGAAATATTTCTTAAATCAATATTTATATGATATGTATTGTTTGTCATTCTGTAGTGACATTTTGCTCCATCAAGTTCATACTCTGCTTCATCAAATACCACAATGACAGAAGTTAACTGAATACACATATGTACAATTAACCTATTAACAAAAGTCTCTTTACAACAGAATTGCGAATTTCGGATGGGTATAATTTAACTGATTGTAAAAATGCATGTCTTGCGGATTCCTTATCGCCTACTAACTGTAGAGCGACGCCTAAGAGAATATAAGCCTCTGCTTTCACAACTGCAGATACCATTACATAACCTTCATCTATAACCAGTTGTAAACCTTGGAGGGAATCTTTACATTGTCTGACATCATTGAGATGATAATAACAAAGGAAATTAAGGAAGTAAGCATACGCTGTAGATGATAATATACACATGTGATTTAATTGGATCATTTCAAGTTCATCTGGTATTAACGTAGAACTCCTCACAAATAGTATGTTGTCCACAACCAATGTTTTCAGCAAATATACCAAAGTATGTTTCTGAAATGTTTGCAGTTTTAGCAACTGGTAATGGATATCCGATAAAGTCATCAGGTAATAAAGTTTTTCTGGAGTACATTTTGATAAAGAATAACCGACGACGTATAAAGCTTTACTGTATTGTTTTGTCTTATAGAAAAGAGAAGCAACCATCAGCCATCCAGATACAGCGTCATGATAGATATTATCTATGACAGTACTAAGACAGGATTTGTACTGTTTGTATTGGTATTTATTATTACGTAATGTACTAATGAGTGGTACACTCTGGGCATGAACTTGACAACACTTTGACAAGTAAAATCTATATACGTCTCTAATAGTAGATTTAGAAGATTGCTGAAACAAATACATCTGTTTCATTCTAATATTGACTATATTCGATGTCGTGAATGTTAAAGCAGCATTTGAAGAAAGCAATAACTTGGATATTAGTATTTTTTCGATTTCTTTTGAATATTGAGAATGCGATTCGATGGGGAAATTCCAAATTGCTAAATTAAAGTTGGATATTTGATCGGAAAATAAAATGCATCGCCAATTATAACTATGCAACAAATATAATTTTTCTAAAAGTACTTCACGAGCACGGCCCACAATTTTATTTTCGAACATGTTGTTCTCGGGAATGAAGTAATGTAAGCAACTTGAGTGCTCAACACAATATACCAGCCTTCTAAAACATCTCATAAAACAAGGAATAATATAAGCAGGTTGCCATACGGATTGTGGTAGTTCTTCAGATATCCAAAACACAATTGTTTTCAGGAAGTAAGAACAGAGTAAATCTTCACATTCGGAGAAAGTAGCTATTACATCTTTCAATATAATTTTTAACAGAGCATAGCACAGTAGTTGAGTGTGGGTAAAGGTATTAATTAGAAACTTTTCACCAACTGAAAAAGATACTCGCCATTCTATATCTTCTTTTGGTGAGCCCTTAACTCCAATTGGTACAAAAAGTACTCCGTGTTTTATAATACTTTGTTTGACATTATGACTCGGCCATGAGTTATTTGATCTTGTGATCCACTGTCCTGCAGGAGATACCCACGTGTTACAATGTAAGCAATCAGCGAAGTCGACAGATCCTGTAGGTTCAGATATACAGGGTCCATGAATCGTAATTAAAATATCTTGATCGTTGAAGTTCATCCTTTGTTTATATAATGTACTCGAAAAATAATGTTTATCATTTTGTTCTTCACATTGTTTTAAGATACACTGACATCTGCAATAATCTAGTTTCAACTGAGTAAAACCGGGTTTAACATCGTCTCTTTCCATTGAAAAATATGTTACATTTGGATTAAACTGGGGTTTTATATCTTCATAAACCTCTAAGTGTCTATAAACGCGCATTAAATCTAAATCACTGCCTCGCATTTCAAGTCCTTCCCCAAAGCTTCCACTAGTTATAAATGTTTGTATCTTGTCACTTGAAAAAATATCTCTGATAGCGTTCATCAATCTGATTTGTATAACATGATCTTCTGAGCCTACTATATGTTGACACAGATAACGATACAGTGCAATTGATATATTTGGTGTTACAGTGTCTGTAATAAGAAGAAGAAAAATTGAAACTGTGAATAAAAAACATTATTTTACTATTAAAGTAAATACAGATTAAACTTTATTCAAGATGTAAACATTGATAGAGATATAGTGGTATTGATATGTTTGGTGTTGCAGTGTCTGTAAAGAGACAAAATGAAATGAAAACTGTGAATTAAAAGGTTAACTATTAAAGTAAGTACATTTTACATGAAATACAGATCAAACTTTTTTTTTCTACCTCAGGAATAGATTACCTTTGCTGTATTTGTCAAAACTTTTAGGAATTTTGGTCCTTAATGCTCTTCAACTTCGTACTGTATTTGGCTTTTTTAATTTTTTTGGATTTGAGCGTCACCGATGAGTCTTTTGTAGACGAAACGCGCGTCTGGCGTAAATACAAAATTTAATCCTGGTATCTATGATGAGTTTATTTATTCATAATGTAAACATTAATCATAATGCATGCGAATAACAATGTTTACTATTATGTTCTTCACACTGTATATTTTTTGTTCATATGACAACCGACGTGAATTGTACATGTATACGAAATTTTACATTTAAACAAATAAATAACATGACAACCATTGAAAATTCACTTAACATGCTGAAATTGACATTTGTACATGGATGATTTTGTTTTACACATCTACATATTCGAGATTTGAACTCGGTGATTGGCGCCGTAGAAAAGTAAATTAAACCTGCTGTTCATGTTTGTTTGTTAGTAGAAAATGTGTTTAATTGCTTGAAAACAAACAGAACGTAAATTAATCTAAAGTTCGCCTAAGGTCAAGCAATACATCATTTCAATGTGACTGCAATACACAGTCTGAGGTCACGCAGGTTCATACAACACTCGTCAACGTAGTGGCAGTGGGCGGAGCTTTAAAGCGATATAGGTATAGTATACAGATACAGCCTAGCGATGTCTGTTGGGCTATACATGTATGATAAGACACCCAATGGCAGGATAAAACTGATTTTCAAAATTTAGATGAGAAATTAAAGACTACGGTAGTCTGTCGATGATCAAGTTGATAACCTATAGGATTAAATAAACTCTGAATGGAGCAAGACCGAGATACTCAACCTTATAATCCTGTCCTACTTTACACTGTACGCCAACTTATTTTCCCGGAGACTTTATTTCGCGTTTAGCATTTCCTTACCAATCTGGCGGCGATTTAATTACCCTATTCTGAAATTTACTTGAAGTAGATAAAAATCCAAGTTTAAATATTCTCGACGATTTATATTACCGATATTTTTCTACTCGCGAAAGTCGAGAAAATAAAGCACTCGAGAAATTCAGTTTGTTTACAGTATAAATTAGAAGATGTGGTATGAGTGCCAATAGACAACTCTCCATTTAAGTCACTTTGTATAAAAAGTAAACCATTATAGGTCATTAATCGGCCTTAAACACGGAGCCTTGGCTTACACCGAACAGGAAGCTATATGTGTCATCTAACACGCCAAGCATGCTTCATTGGCAATCATACTAAATCTTAATTCATCATTCGAAAATACATAACAGAGAAAACATGCATTTAAATAAAAACGATAACAAATATGAAATAACAGTGTTGTGTGGCAGAAATGTTTAAACATATAAAATAGATAATTGGTTTGTTATATCTTTACAATTTGCCGCACAAAATAAACGTCAAGTCGATGTTTGAATTAAAAGGAAGACAAACCCTTTTAGGTTGCAGTCTTGTAACTACTCCATAGACTTACATGCAAAACAGCTTATCAGCTGATGTTTGAATTTTTTAAAAATAAAATGTTACATAGAATTTGTTTGATGTACATACAATGTATCATGTATGCAGTAATGCGACATTGTGATTTATTGTGAAAATGCTGATCATGCCACGAAGAATAAAAAGTTAGGAAACAACGTGTTTTCTACTTGTGTTTATTGTTTTAATAAGTCGCTCCCTTTCCAGTTAATATGATATCCTTTAACTTTCCTGGTTTGATATCCCATAAAAAGATTCAATATTTTTTTAATCTAAATAAATAAGTCCGGAAAAATTTTTAAGAAATAAAAATAGAATTATGTTTCACTCTATATACCGGAAACTGGGGTCGTATTAAAAGATCGGAACCTTTAGACTAAAATGTAAACTAGAACTTAAATCAATTAAAGAAACTGGTATATGTTTTATGTTTGCTACTGACCCCCTACTGGTCCGTAGAAGGTAAGTAAAATCCATAGCGATTTTATGTTTACCCTCACTAAGAATTAAAGTTCCGTTATAACATTACCATGGTTACACGTGAGAATCAAGTGATCAATTATACCTATGTGTATTTTCAAACAAAAAAAAAAACATGCACATAGGGAAATCATTTCTCAAAATCTCCTTAATATTATGTTTTGATGTAAACAAGGTAATTGCTATTTTTCTGTTGTTTTGTTTTATTTTATTTGAAACAAAAGATTTTCTACGATGAAAATATATGTGATGTTTTCTTTGTTCTAATGCAAAAGTCTAGAGAGAAATATATCCCGCCAAATTGATGTCTTATATCTCGAAAATAATCACATGGACCCTTACATTTCTTCTGCTCATTTAGTTCCTTTATTTATATACTATCAATTTAAAAAGCTTATTATTTTGAGTAGCGAACCAATGTCTACACCCCTTAATGAAAACGTTGGTTATTAGATTTATCAGCAATGTTGAATTGATTTTCTTTAATGTTCCTTGTGAAAACATAAACTAATGATACAAGGAAATAAAACATTTATCACAAATAATCAAGCGCACAAATCAGATTATCGAAGACTCATTTCCCGTTGAACTTTAATTATAAGGAAATTAATAAACGGTCAGTTGATAAGTAACTCGGTCAGTTTAATGGTCAAAAGTACAAACGGATTAGACACACGTTTTTCTTAGTTTTTGTGTCTGATCCGTATGTCCTTTTATAAACAATATTTTTTTAAATAGTTTATTGGTCTGATGAGAGTTAAAAATAATCTATTTTTATCTAAAGATTATAAGGAAACATATTTCGTTGTGCTAATTTGATATCAAATTGTTTTCTTAACTTTAATAATCTGCCTTGTTTTGATATGGATTTACTTTATTGACAGGAACGTAACATGCAAACGAACAGTGAGAGAATTGTATCGAACTCCTTCCAGTTTCAGGAACACCATAAACAAAGAAGCAGTGACAGGAATTGTATCAAACTTCGTCCGATTACAGGAAAGCCGAGAGGCAAAGGAAGAGTGAGAAGAATTTCATCAAACTCCTTCCGGTTTCATAAACATGAAACGCGAAGGACCAATACGAGGATTTGTTTCAAACTCCTTCCGGTTTCAGGAACAGCAATACGAAGTAACAGTGAGAGGAATAATATCTAACTACTTCCGGTTTCAGGAACACCAAATACGATGGAAGAGTTAGAGGAATTGTTTCAAACTCCTTCCGGTTTCAGGAACGCAAAATGCCAAGGAACAGCAACATTAGTTGTATCAAACTCCTTCCTGTTTCAGGAACGCCAAATGCGGAGAAATCGTTAGAGGAATTGCATTGAACTCCTTCTGATTTCAGGAACGTCGGATACGAAGGAACAATGCAAGGAATTGTATTTACCTCCTTCCGGTTTCAGAAACGCCAGATACGAAGGAATAGTGAGAGGAATTATATTGACCTCTTTCCGATTTCAGGAACACCAAATACGAAGAAACAATGAGAGGAATTGTATTGACCTCCTTTCCGGTTGTACTGCCCTAAAGTATTTTACGAGTTCGTTGTTATTCTGTGATAAACAAGTCGAAATGTTCTGTTGTATTGTTTGTTTATGTATTCTCTGTCCTAAATGTTTTTGCATTTATTTGTACTGTATTCCTGTCATGTAGTGGTATATATAGCAATTCCATAAAAGCGCGAGTTTTGGTTAGCAATAAAACATCAATTTTTTTCTTAAAATGTCCTGTACCAAGTCAGGGAAATGGCAGTTATTATCTTTTAGTTCGATTCTATGTATATTGCATTGTTGTTGTTGCAATTCAGTGTTTTGTTGTTTCGTTGTTTTCCTTTTATAGTTGATGTGTTTCCCTCTATTATAGTTTGTTATCCGGATTTGTTTTCTCTCAATCGATTTATGACTTTTGAAAAGCGGTATACTACTGTTGCCCTTATTTCTTCAGGAATGCCAAATGCAAAGGAACAGTGTGAGGAATTGTATCAAATTTCTTCTGATTCCGGGAACGCCAAATGGAATGAACAATGAGAGGAATTGTATTGAATTCCTTATTGGAATTTATGTTTATTTCTATTTCTATGAAAATATATTGAATTTAGCATTCTTTTCTCAATAAACACAATTACTATGCTTTTAGTTTCTTTCGTGTTAAGTGTAACGTTCACTTTTTATTTCCGCATCTCTAATTCATTCTTTCAGTTTTATTAAGAGAACTTAGACATTTAACTCTTAATTAACCGTTATCATTTTGAAATGTTGAACCTATTTACTATTAGTATATATATATGTATATTGTAGTATATGCCTTTGAGAAAAGTATAACAATCTAACAAAATGTGTAGCAACATTTTACAAATTACTTCAAACCGGCCAATATCGCGCACAAAGAGCAGACTGACTTTCTATACAACTTTAAGAAAACAAAGATCAAAGTAATAAGGCATAAATAAACCGAAAGATGCCCTTGATATGTTAACAATTATTTTGTAAATATGTATAAACTAAAGTTATGCTGTACCTTCCATCTTTTTAGCCTATTGTGTGTTAAGTGCGAAATATGTATCTACTTAAAATTTACTTTTGTTTCCTTTTCGCTGGAAACT